ATATTTAGTTTATAAACTATGACATTTATAAATGTATGAATCATATGGTGAAAAACTGACTTTGAAAAATAAATCTGTTCTTTTTTTCTTATAAAAGGCTAAATAAAACAAAAATATTGGTGGTAATTCTTGACTGTGTAACTTTACAAACGGTCCCCCATAAAATCCAGAAGCTGAGGTCAGGACAAATTTAAGAGTGATTTCGAGAAGATGGCATTAAGCATTTAAAAAGGAGAGCAGATGAAAAGGGCTGAAAGATCAATGGAGGAAAACAGGAGGGGGTGACCTTTGTGGGGCAGCAGGAGAGAAAAAAACTGAGGGACGGCTGCATTTCTGGGTCATTGGCTGAGGTGAGGACAGCAGAGTAAACCTGCGGTGACATTTCACTGTCAGAGCAAAGTGACCACATGTTCTGATGGAGAGGAGGAAGAGGAGGAGGAGGAGGGGGAGAGGATGACACACCAACAGAAGCTGGGGAGGTGAGGCGGGTTATAAATGGAAAGAAGGACAAGTTGAYAGAGTGATGACTTGGAGGGCCGGAGAGTTTGAAATGAGGTGGACGAGAAGTTGAAGCAGAGAGAAGATGGATGACGTGACAGTTGACAAGAAGGAAGAGGACGTTTGACAATCTGGACACTTTAAAATCTGAGTCTGCAGGAAGTGGACAGTAAGACGGTTGGAAGGTAAGAATATTTGGCTAATTTGACAAAAGGTTGTTGGTGGGAAAAAAAAGAGTTCTAGTTGTGGAAATAAAATAAAATAAATTGTGGACCGACAAAATGAGACTGACCAATGACTGCGTATCCTCCAGGAATGATGCGGTACAGAATCCCATCAAACAGAATCCCGTGAGGAAACAGGGTGGCCATGATTTCACCCACCAATCTGCCAAATGCAGCTCCTACAAGARGAACAAAACGGCATGTTTTAATACCAGAATCAATATTATTTTCGACAGTAACACTTGACATCTCCATCACAGAGTCAGGAGAACACAAAGTCTCCACCTGCTCTTAAACTGGGTCAGGAAACCGCATCAACTTCTGCTCTTACAGAAGTGAAGTCATTTTAAAGTAGAAGAAAATTACCACTTCAAAGTTCTTCACTCCAGGCTGCATGGCCAAATTATTTTTTTTCTTTTTTTTTTCATCCCCAAAAGCAAGCTTAACTTTTGATCCATTTGAAACATTTTATCCAATCTGAATGTGGAAGCAGACAGCTCCAGCAGTTTGTTTTTGAAATACAGTGTGGATTCACTGAAGATGCAAAAATACAGTATTTATGTTAAAAAACATGAATATGTTGTTTTTCAGCACAGGTCTAATGAGTAATGTTCCCAGAACTTGCTATTTTTCATTCAACATAAACAACCTTTTTACATTACAAAGAATAAAAATAAGCATATGATGCAGTGAAATCCTTCATTTTCACATTTAAATTCTTCTGTTGAGTCTTTATAAAGTGGAACTACAATGATTTGGTCTGAATTCCTCCTTATTCTAACTTCAACAGCACCTCTTTCACCCTTTTTCTGCAGTGGGTCTCAAAGCAGCTCGTTTTGTTACTGTTCCTTCAAGATGCTTCAAGCCCCGCCCCCCTCCGGCTTCCAGACCGGTCCACTCTGGTTTGAGAGAGGGGAGGAATTATGTTTTCTTGCAGTACAGAAACACTTTATCAACAATTTAATTAAAAGATGTCAGCAATAGAAGACTTGTCCATTCAGCTTTAAATGTTGGAGCCAGAGTCTGACCAGAACCAGAGTCGGACCCAGAACCAGAGTCGGACCCAGAACCAGAAGAGAATTAAGACAAGGCAATAATTAGTAAKTCCAGACCTTATACGGTAATTCCACTGCAGATAATTTGATGTAATAGATTCAGAAAACATCATCGAAAGTAGAGAAAACTGAACTAGCTGAAAAATCTGACCCAAACAGAATATAAAGATGTCTCTGCAGCACCAAGAGAGACTAAATTCAACTTTTCTGCCTCCTAGAGACTCCAAGTCCACAACAAAATATTTTTAACAGCTAAAAAAGTGGATTTTGCAGGATTTGTCCCCTTTAAGTTTCTTGGATTTATCTTAACAACTGAGAAAACTCAAACCAAAAACAAAACATCTTGAATCACATCGTGACAAAGCAAAGGTCACATTTTATTTTAATTAGGAAACACATTTACATAATAATATCTGCAGCTATTCATTGTGGGGTTTGTTGTTTCATTCTGGTAACAATGAATTCCCAAAAAGTTCATGTTTGATGAAACAAACACCAGATAAACAGAAAGGTACAACACAATCTGAATAAAAAGGARCGGATTTAAGGGGTGAAAAAAATTAAATTTAACAGAGAAAACAAGATCTCATTTATTTCTCTTTCTTCTGGATGAATACGTATTATTTTTTATATTATTATTGTTATTTATCTCACCAAGTATGAAGACAGGCATGAAGGCTCCAGATGGAATGGGCATGGTGGTGGCCACTGCTGACATCCAGAACTGCAGGCAAGGAGAGAGATGAATGTTCTCAAAGGAATCAAAATCAAACTAAAATCAAACTAATTTAAAATGTAGGTGTTTTTATTTAAAAAGTGGATCAAAACATTAGAATAGTAAGTAAGTAAGCAAGTAAGTAAGTAAGTAAGTAAGTAAGTAAGTAAGTAAGTAAGTAAAGTTTTATTTATATAGTGCCTTTCACAGAAATAAATTCACAAGGTGCTGTACAGTCAGGGGAGGGGGAGGGGGCAGTTACAACAGGTCATGCAGCAAACACAGTTGCGCTACCTTTAGACAAACAAAACAACAGAACAACAGCTTGAAATGCATAAAAGGAAAACTGAGTTAAAACAACCCGTGAGAGTGCAAGATAGCCTGGGGGGGAGGTGGGAGGGGGGTCAAATAACACATAAAGGGGAGGTAAAATGGGGCCGGGTCCAACACAGGTGATGGGGGTGGGAGCGAATCCAGCTCTTAGTTGACATTTCATCCTGTGGAGGTTAAGATAAGCACTGCCCTCAAGGCCGAGCCGCTGGAAGCTATATACTGTAGATAATCCAATTGTTTTGGAACCAAGCAGCCTTGAAATTCCTGCTGCTTTTTAAGTGTCTTTACTGCAAACTCTGAGGTGGCGAAAAAAAAGCCAATCGGCCAAATTTGGGGTCATTACTCGCCTCACACCGATTGAAGCTTACCCAGAATGTAGTCCATACATGCCGAAGTGTCGCTCCTGAGCTGTGATCCTCGTCAGAATCACATCCAGTTTGCAAATTTTTCCCCCAGCTGAGCGTCTGTGTGCTTCCAAACTGGCAGAATCCTTCAAGTGCACCCGACAGCTCTTCAAAGGCCCGATCCACTGTCAGSGTCACTTTCAYTTTTTGATAAATCTGGAACCTTCCTCYGCCGATCAGCAGGAATCCAGTTATCATAATCCAAATAAATAAAGATCWTCCATGTCTTCGATGGAAAGTGGTGCTAGCATATCAGATTCCAGCCCCAGGAATCAGACAAATCCAGCAGCAACCATTCCACCCAGACAGCCACGTTCCCCKCGTTMSAAGTGTAGAAAAAAATAGTGTCAATTTCATTCAGARTCCAGTTGACCAAATCCATAATTCCTTTAGTTTTGGATGGAAGKTGAAAAAAGAGCTCGAAAAAGCTAAAGCAGCGAAGCAGGGAAGGGAAAGAGGGGGCAGAGAGAGCGAAAAGCACGTCCTGCTCCTCTGAAGGCCAGGCAGAAAGTGAAGAATAGAACTTATTATGTATACAAACTGGATCAAAAATAAGTTGTTCTAGGGTGGCAGCAGGAAAAATTGTTTCTGTTTTTGTCCCTARCTTGAGTTTAGTAGAGTTTGAACACTTATGTGATGGGGGAGGGGACTCAGCCACCCATTAGTGTTTAAATGATGCACTTAATCCACCTCAGTGAGCCGAGAGACGACATGTAACTCTGCTGAAGCTTTTTATTCGCCAGTTTGAGTTAAAAAATTGAATATGCAAACTACCTTTGCAAGCAAACAGAAGCTAAACTCACCTTTTAAATTGGAATAACRCTGTTTGTTTTTAAACGATGCAACTTTAAAATAGCTTTTTCTAAAAATATGCTTTGTTTTTGGCCACAGAGAGCTCATCAGAGATAATTATTACCATCAGACAAGCGCTGGAGTTTTGTGTTCGAGTGAAAGCAACCAGCACCTGCTGAGCTTCGCCTCTGAAGGTTGAAAGGAGTTTTGTGGAACACGACATTGCCACATTGCCATCCCCAGACTGCTATTCTACCCGTGATCTGCAATCATCGTTTGRGAACTTAATTACCGTGGAGCAAAATAAAACGTCATTAGCGCGTCTCTCGCGGGGGTGGCTGCTGTCCTGATGACAGGGAGGAGTGCGCTCCGTTTTATTCTCTCGCCTTAATCCTCAAAGTCCAACTCAATCTGGCAGAATAACACACAGCTCACAAAAGGAGTCTCACAAGCACAAAAACGGTGTCGATCAGCACACACTGTTTCATCAGAGTCACAAATCCTCAGACAGATGGGGCTTGAAATGAATRAAATTACTGTTGATGTTCCAGTGTAGAAACAAAAAACTGTAGAATTAATTAAAAACTTTAGTCCAGTCTGGATAAAGAAAAAAATATTTAAATATTTAAATGAAAAGAACAATGAGAGTACAAAACATAAAAAAACCTTATTATAGCGTTATAGCCTGGTGGGCAGTTCTCTACCCATGGGGTCCTGTTGGGCTCAGCTCTTGGGATTTATTTCCTTATTGTATATAAAACATAATTCTTTTAACACTTCATAAAAGAGCAATAAAAACATGTAAATTATGAAAATCTTTTTCCATGGTGTTGCGCAAAGTAATTCAGTCATTTTAAACATTTTTACACCAGATTCACAAAGGGTACATATACAGTATATTCTAAATGAAAAACCTAATTAAAACATCACCTCCACGCTCTGCAGCTCATTTACTTACATTGTTTTGGTTTTTTTTTCACTAATTTCTGCTGAATCAGTGAACTAAACACATAGTTCACATTTAAATAGATACACCTTTRTTTTGGTAAAACAAGACATATGAGCGTCTGAGTATGAGTGTGCTAAGAAACCAGAAGAGAGCTGCGACTGATGGCAGCTTGCCAGGTTTGTTGACCTTGGCTAAAAATAAAGTCATAAAAACACAAATAAACACAAAGATAAACACAGATGTCCCTGCCACCAACACACAACACACAACCAGCAACAAATGCCTCTAATGAAGGAGAGGGTGCTGCAAACACACACACTCGATCTCACACCTGTGCAAAGACATGCAAAACAAGCAGCAGCTACACACCTTCATGAGGAAGAAGAGCAGCAGGATGATGAAGACACTGACGTCAGGGTGCAGCCAGGCGGTGGAGCGACCCAGACCCACCGGAGGGGGAGATCCTGACATCTTCGTCCACGTGAAGTTATCAAACAAAGAGTTGATGCATTCTCTGGGCATTAGCTGGAGAAGTGACGAAGAAAGAAAGACAACAACAGCAGAGGAATGAAAAGGATGTCGGAGCCCAAAAAGGATCAATATGATTCAAACTGAGTACTGAGAGGAATGGACGTTAGGGGAGGGAAAAAAACTTAGCAACGTGGTAACAATTAAAAAAAAAAGTCAGTTTAAAGTAGAATAAAGATAAAAACTGAAGACAGATGTGAGCAGAATTCAAGAAAAGAATAATAATGTTGGATTTTAGTGAGAGGAAAGAGGCAACCATAGCAACATAAAACAGCACAGTATGTACCAGGTACATACACAGTACTTCAGGAATATTCAACTGGCAGCCCGCGGGCCACGTCTGGCCCGTGAGTGACAAAAATCCGGCGCGTCTCTTAAGCCAAAACATCTGGTTTTTGACTTTAATTCCTATAAGTTATTTTAGTTCGAYATAAACATGTGTGGTATGTACAGAAACATTAGAATCTTGGCTTAAAAGCTGGTTAAAAAAAAACATTTCTCTGAACACYAAAGACAATTAAAACTAAAAGTAATTAAATAGGAGGCATAATGTGTTAGTTTTTGTTTTTGATATTGTTTTTAAATATCACTACTTTTATTACACTGGGCTCCACATGTTGTGTTCATAAATTAAATGCTATAAAATAARCAAATTCAAAAAGTACTATATCTTTGTAATAATTGGTTTATTTACCTCATGACTTTAATTTCTAGATTGTTCGGCCCCTGACCTGTTGGCCTGCAGTAACTGAGGCCCCCTGGAGCATTTTCTTTGAGTAGCCCTGCAGTACTTGGCACATGGTAAGTACCAGGTAAGTACTCTGTAAAACAGGGTAAAAAATCACTTCATAATACTGCCCTGGTGTATTTTACCAGATATACACTGTATATGCTGTTGGGAACACTAGGTACATACCCTTAGTGTACCTGAGTACATTCAGGTAAGTACCAGGTRCTTAGTRGTTAAGTACCAGGTACATACCAGACATGTATCTGATACATATCATTTAAATACCAAATACAAGTACTGTGTAAGTACCAAGTATTTTCCCAGTACTTAGCAGGTAAGTACCAATGATAAAGGAACTATGTCATAAAAGGAAACAGAAAAGAATGAAGAGAAAAGGGTCAAAAGTAATAAACAGGCAGGAAGTCATGCAGGGAGCTGGAAGCAGTCGTGCCCGCTGACTCATTCTCTTTTGGTGACTCATGAATGACTAATTCACTTCAAATATCTTTCTCCACATTTGCATACGCGTCTCTAAAGTTGCTCACAGGGACAAATCCGAGTGCTTCCTGCATCTGCATAATGCCTCAGCTGGATAAAAAAAAACAACAACACCAACGCTGTCGTTCTGATTTTTACACTTTATTTTGAGTCTGGGCTTGAATGGAGACCCGATGTTTGGTATGTGAGTGGGAGCGCTGCTGAGGAGCAGCTCTTTAAAACGCTGCTGAGGGGCTCAGCAGAGCTGGATGTAATAACCTGTCCTGCTCTTTTTGAAGTTGGGAGTTCAAGTCTGGTTCAGGACTCGTTGTGCTGCCTCGTCCATCACTCTACACTCTGCTGTCGAGATGGATCTAAAGAATTTTAATCACAAAAAAACCTTTACGTGCACTTACAGAGAAATCATTCTGCAGCCAGACTCTGAGGTGAAATTTTAATTTAGATATCGCTTCAGTTTTAGCACCGGGTGTTTGTTAAAAACGTGTGAGTGTTAAATGCAGACACTGAAATATCTATTCTGAGCACCTGTGAACCACATGATGAGCCTCTAACCTGGAGTTAGGGAGCTGATACATCCGGCTTACTGAGATTTCACCTTGGAACTGATTTTGAAATGAAGATAATGAGGTATTGAATTAAATCACGTAAAAACATGGACAGAAAAAGTCCAAACTGGCTCATGAATATGATGATTACAAATGCAAAGCAACGAAAACAATAAAATCACCATCAGATGTCCAAAACAACCTTTTTATCTTGTTTGTAAAAAAAAATCTCTTTATGCAAATGTTTTCAGCCACATGGAAACAGAAAATGACCCTAAACACTGTAGCAAAGAAAAAAAAACATAGAGGAGATGCTCCAAACTTTAAAAAAAAGATGGTGACTACAAGAGCAAACACTGAGTTGTTTTGTGGGCTGATGATGAAAATCTTGCCATTTGTCTCACATTAACAGACTGGGAGTTGTCTCTGTCTAAATAACAAGGACATATTGGCTGATTTGTGGCCTAAAAAGGGATTTTTGTGTCAGAGCATGCTCAGATTTATCTGCTGGTTGCACTAAAGCAGAAAATACAAAAAAAAAAACACCTCATTGGCTGTTCAGTGCAGCTTTTTCAGGACTTCCTGATCAGGATCAGGACAAACCTTYCAAGCTGTGCTGAACATCTAGGAAACCGATAGGAGGCACTTTTTGACTTTATTTAGCCATTTATTGTGTAAATTTTAAATAGAAATGGTAGGTTTTACTTAAAGAAGTATGCATTTATGTTCTATGAGAGCCTTTAATTATCTGACAAGTTTTCTCAAGAGCTGGAGTAAAAAATTTAAACTCTGACCTCTCCAGCCATGAACTGTCCAAACCCAGGCGGGAAGGTCAAGGTGGCGATGACCACAGTTACTGTGGCAGGAAAGACCAGTCGGCTGAGAGGGTGAAACACAAACAAAACGCTTTTATCGTTTAACAATTGGAATTCCAAAACAAATATCGGATTTTGTCTTAGTTGTGTTTTGATTTCTGTTTGTTCAGTAGCAGCTTCAGACTCACTATTTCATCAGGAAGCGGGTCATGGTGTTTGGTCGTCTCATGAATAGCACCACCTGTCTGTTGAGATACACAAAGAAAGCACCCAGAAACCCACAAGAGATCCTGGAAAAAAAAAGCAACACAGTCCATTAACTGCATCCACTCAACAAAAACAGACAAATTAGTTTGAAATGTGTCCAAATTACTGCAGCAGTACTTTGTTAACGATAAACCCAAGTGTTGTCTTTAAACAATCAAATGATTGAGAGATCAGTTCAGCTTCACTGGTGATTCTCAAAAAATACAAACTGATACATGTTTCCAGTGAGATTTTATCTCATATTATAATTAGACTGTGATTACATTAAAACATCATCTTGTCTGTTCATGCATGCCTCACCCGATGATGGCGAACGCAGGCAGCTCCTGCAGGTCGAAAGGGAAATCCATACGGAAGTTTGTCCTGAACAGAGCAGTGATGGTTACTAAAAACAACAACAACAACAAAAAAGATGTTTTAATCTTGAAAACGAAGACAGGATTAAATGTGCAACATTAGTTTTACGTCAGAGCTTCTTTTGGTTTAAATCAAACTTTAAAACAGAAAAATGTGAAAAATGCATCACAGCTCATTATGGTGTGGAGCAGAAACGTAGGACTGGATTGTGGAGAAATGGCGCCCTCTAGAGCACAAATGAGAACTCGTGTCACAAAAGTTTGATCCCTACCTGCATCTTTGTTAAACACAGACAGCACTCTGAAGATGAAGGCACTAAATGTAGCAGCAAAGTATCCTCTCCAGTAGTTTCTCACAGCAAAGTATGTGGACGTCACTTCTATACTGAACAGAACACCTGATGGAGAACAGAACAAAACAATAAAGTATTTGTTTTTACAATAAAATACACAAAGTTGTTTTACTTTATAAACCTAAAACATTTAATGCAGAGATCCTAACATATCAAAGTAAAAGATATCTAAGAAGACAGAAATAATGGAAACTTGTACCTCCAAGCGGAGTGCCAAAGCAGCAGCCCACCCCGACAGCACAGCCCACCGTCAGGATGTCTGTGTAACAGTAGGGGTTCTACTGATCCAGAGAGGGAGGGGTGCAGCATTCAAACAAGAGACAAAAACAACACAAAACATATAGACAATCATGTTGTATGCATTAAAGTTTCAAGTGTTTAGCTTACCTGATAAACTCCTGAGAAGAAAGACATGAAGCGGCTGAGAACCGCCGCGCAGATGCTGGCGATGTGAACAAACGGGCCCTGAGGGACGAAACAAAAKAAAAACAAGTAAATAAAATCAAACAGTAAACAGTAAAGATGGTTCATTTATATTTTATTTACCCACCTCCTTCCCTACAGGCATGCCACTCCCCAGCGCCGCAGTCAGGCCGATGACTTTAGCGATAAAAGCCTTGAGAGTTAAATACTCCTTKAGCACCACTCCTCTCAGGATGGTCTTCAGCTCCGGGATCCCAGAACCTTCAATGACAGTTTGTCTGGAGTCAGAGGAGGAATTCAAAGCAAAATWTTGTAGTTCCACTTCATAAAGACCCCAACTGAATGATTTAAATGTTAAAAGGATAAGGATTTAAATGCATGATATGTTTACTTTAAGGGTTTTGCTGCAAAGCTAGGCACTGTCAGATTAAAAACTAGTGTATCTGTAAGAGTCATTTTGAGTCCTCCTAATACTTAAATTAAACAAACATCTTATTTAYGTTTCAAATAAATGGGAGTCTAAGCTTATTTTCACTGATATTCCTTGAAACTAAARGCAGGTGTGCACAAAGGAGCAAGAAGGTTCAGGTAAGAGAAAGTGAGCAGTACAGACCGATAGCCTGAGGAGAAACCAGGTGACAGAAGAGGGAGGAGAAGAGGATAAAGATGAGGGGATAGGAAACCCAGGCCAGGTACTGCAGGGGGATGTTCCCCTTCAGCTCCCCGTAAATCCATTTATAAGCTGTAGAAAGGAGGGTGAAAAGAATCAAATGGGATAAATACTTGAAGGGAAAGTAAAACCAAGAGATAAGCAATAAAAACCAACAGGTCGGCAGCCAGGTGAAAATAATAGGTTGAGTTTATATAGAGCTGCTGGAGCTGAGTGAAGCTGACACCCCACCCACATAAAAAATCCAAGCAAGTGAGCGGATTGGTTAGTGCTTCGTTTGTGCAGGTTTGTGCAGAATGAGCGTTTGTGTTGTTATAGTTTTTCAGATATTAAATATTTTGTCTTTAGCTCATTATGACGTCACCATCCCCCCAGCAAGCTCTGAAATGAACCAAAATAGTCTACTTTTTAGTGCTTCGTTTGTGCAGGTTTGTGCAGTTAAAATGAGCATTTGTGCTGTTATAGTTTTTGAGATATTTTATGTTTCAATTTCAGGCGATCACATGGTCTGAGTTATTTACATCATTACCTGAGGGTAACAGGTTTATTTAAGAGAATATAAGTAGAAAGAGCTAGTTCACACACCAAATGGATGTAATCTGCCGATAAAGCTCACAGAAGAAGAATGTCTGGAAAAAAGAAAAAGAAGAAAAAAATGGCCACCTGCTGACTGTTCTGCACATACCTTGACGTGAACTGATAATGTCTGTGTTCTGCGACCATTATAGTTTTATGTTATAACTTATAACTAAAGTAACTAACATCTGATGCTGTTAAACTATTGCTGTTTCTGTATGATAACTTTTTCAATAAATTTTGTTTAAGAAAGAATTTGGTGTAATCTTTTTAGTAGCTTAAATGAATTACATTTCAAATGCATTGTTTTTATTTTGTCAACCACACTTCTGTTCGTAAAACAGAATAAAAGTGCTTAAAGTTTATAAAATAACATGAAACCTTTTTGGTAACTTTATTGATAATGTACATCTCACACAATCCTTGCTTTGATTTGCTAGCCCCTCCCACTCGACACCTCCATGACCCCATCCAGGACTGACCGTGAGAACTAGCTCTTTCTACTTATATTCTCTTAAATAAACCTGTTACCCTCAGGTAATGATGTAAATAATTCAGGCCATGTGATCGCCTGAAATTGAAACATAAAATATCTCAAAAACTATAACAGCACAAATGCTCAATTTAACTGCACAAACCTGCACAAACAAAGCACTAAAAAGTAGACTATTTTGTTTCATTTYGGAGCTTGCTGGGGGGTGGTGACGTCATAATGAGCTAAAGACATAATATTTAATATCTCAAAAACTATAATGGCACAAACCTGCAAAAACGAAGCACTAAACAATCCGCTTACTTGCTTGGATTTTTTGTGTGGGTGGGGTGTCAGCTTCACTCAGCTGTCTGGATTTCCCTTTACTGTACATGATGACAGCAGAGCAGAAAAAAAGGATTGATGATGTAGAAATCATTAAAAATATTAATAATAATATCAACCCAATTATTATTAACATTTTACAGTTTATATAATCTATCTAATGTTTTAAAT